AGCCAGGAACACCTGCTCCAGCTCAAACCGCCAAACTACCTGTCTTGTTGCCGGCTCCTCGCTGATTGGCCGCCGGTCTAGCTGCAACTGCACTCACCCACCATACTACTTGATGTCTGGGGCCGCCACGACCTCAGTCCTCAGAATATTCAGTGCTTTCATACGGTTAACACTTCTTCCTGGTAGACTAAAGCTTTGGCTTACGTGTACTAAGAGAGGTGATAGCTTAAAGCCAATATTCCTGCACCAATACTTACGTTATTTGCACAGCTTGTTATTGCTCACTTGTCTTAACATAACTTTTCATTTTTTCATTTAATTATTCTTATTATTTTGATTGATTTTATTATACGAATTTGTATGTCCATTTTATTCATGTTTTTGTTTATCTAACGTAATTAAAATTCCATTGTTAAAATTTACTTGTGTTTTGTGTGTCTCTTCCTTACCTTACCACAGACGAAGTTCCAGATTTTCTATTTTTTTTTTTATTCTATGTGACGAGGCCATACCCCTAGCTTTGAACAGCCGAACACCAACGCGTTACCGTCACAATATATATATATATATATATATATATATATATATATATATATATATATATATATATATATATATATATATATATATATATATATATAATAATAATAATAACTTTCCCCTCTCTTTACGGCAACTGAACTCTTTTCCCTGTTCTCAGTCTCTTAGCTTATATCGACTACAGTGTAATGTTTTGTCATAGCCAAATTAGAGGTAGCGCCCAGCGACATAACAGCGACGTATGTCCAGCAAGGCTCATTTGAATTCGCAGTTTGCATTTGTGTTCCCCTGGCGAGTGATCCCACCCCCTGTCACGCCGCCTGTCAATGTTTGCCTTGTCAACACTGTCACGTTACGGCCCTTGAAGGGGACGCCCTCAGTCAACGCCGCTGACACTCCGCCTCAAAGATAATGCTGAGTAAACTACTTATACAGCCTGCAAACTCTTGTGACAATTTGGTGCTGAGAGCTCTCTGCGCTATGTAGCATGTTCTGCACTATCAGTCACAATGTTCAATAATCGTGTCTGACGCGTGTACTTACTCGGACCCCTTGGCTAGTATACTTGCTCAGGCCCTCGACTAGTATTGCTCGGGCCCTCGGCTAGTATTGCTCGGGCCCCTTTCTAGCACATACTCGGGCCTCTTGTCTAATGCTTGTTCGGGCCCTTGTTTAGTACTTGCTCATGCCTTTTGCTAGTACTTGCTTGAGCCCTTTACTAGTATTTCCTCGGGCCCTTTATTAGTACTTCCTCGGGCCCTTGTGTAGTGCTTGTTCGGGCACTTGGGAAGTATTTACTCGGAGTCCTTGACCCGGCATTTAAATAATAATATGTCGAACTCTTCCTTCATATGTATATATGTTGTACCTAATATCCAGAATGCACTACTTGGCCTAATATGCAAAGCCAAATTTGCCAACCAAGTTTTCCTGACATACGTTTTTTTTATTTTTTTTCCTTATAAAATGATTAAGCTTTCCATATGAGTTAATTTTATTTTAATTTGAGTTAAAACTAATATATAAATATGAACAAACCTAACTATTCTTAACCGAACATAACTAAGTCAATAATTTATATTCATAATATAATTTATTAATATATCTTGAGGTTATCTTGAGATGATTTCGGGGCTTTTAGTGTCCCCGGAGGCCTGGTCTAGGACCGGGCCGCGGGGACACTAAAAGCCCCGAAATCATCTCAAGATAACCTCAAGATATATTAATAAATTATATTATGAATATAAATTATTGACTTAGTTATGTTCGGTTAAGAATAGTTAGGTTTGTTCATATTTATATTAGTTTTAAATAAATATTCAAATAAACCCATTGTAATTTTTTTTAAATAACGAACATCACTCTGCATGTTAGGCAAATCGGGCCTTGCATAGTAGGTCGAGTAGTGCGTTTTGCTTTTAGGTACGACCTATGTTGATTATATATATATATATATATATATATATATATATATATATATATATATATATATATATATATATATATATATATATATAATCTTAATTGCAAAATAGTTGAGTTGGTTTTAAAAATTAATACTCTTTATCGTATTTAGTAATGAAAGTTGTAAAGCCAACGGAAAATTACGACCACATTATTAATCCTTTGATACAGTTATGAGTAATTATTCCCGTAATGGCTTACCTCTCTCCTTAACAGCGGCAACACCATCGTTATGAGAGCACCATCACACTAGCGGCTGCTCTTGAGGTGTAGAGCACCATCACACTAGCGGCTGCTCTTGACGTGTAGAGCACCATCACACTAGCGGCTGCTCTTGAGGTGTAGAGCACCATCACACTAGTGTCTTCAGGTGTAGAGCACCATCACACTAGCGGCTGCTCTTGAGGTGTAGAGCACCATCACACTAGTGTAGAGCACCATCACACTAGCGGCTGCTCTTGAGGTGTAGAGCACCATCACACTAGCGGCTGCTCTTGAGGTGTAGAGCACCATCACACTAGCGGCTGCTCTTGAGGTGTAGAGCAGGTGTAGAGCACCATCACACTAGCGGCTGCTCTTGAGGTGTAGAGCACCATCACACTAGCGGCTGCTCTGTAAGTGTAGAGCACCATCACACTAGCGGCTGCTCTTAAGGTGTAGAGCACCATCACACTAGCGGCTGCTCTTAAGGTGTAGAGCACCATCACACTAGCGGCTGCTCTGTAAGTGTAGAGCACCATCACACTAGCGGCTGCTCTTAAGGTGTAGAGCACCATCACACTAGCGGCTGCTCTTAAGGTGTAGAGCACCATCACACTAGCGGCTGCTCTGTAAGTGTAGAGCACCATCACACTAGCGGCTGCTCTTGACGTGTAGAGCACCATCACACTAGCGGCTGCTCTTAAGGTGTAGAGCACCATCACACCAGCTGCTGCTCTTGAGGTGTAGAGCACCATCACACTAGCGGCTGCTCTTAAGGTGTAGAGCACCATCACACTAGCGGCTGCTCTTGAGGTGTAGAGCACCATCACACTAGCTGCTGCTCTTGAGGTGTAGAGCACCATCACACTAGCGGCTGCTCTTGAGGTGTAGAGCACCATCACACTAGCGGCTGCTCTTGAGGTGTAGAGCACCATCACACTAGCTGCTGCTCTTGAGGTGTAGAGCACCATCACACTAGCGGCTGCTCTTGAGGTGTAGAGCACCATCACACTAGCTGCTGCTCTTGAGGTGTAGAGCACCATCACACTAGCGGCTGCTCTTGAGGTGTAGAGCACCATCACACTAGCTGCTGCTCTTGAGGTGTAGAGCACCATCACACTAGCTGCTGCTCTTGAGGTGTAGAGCACCATCACACCAGCTGCTGCTCTTGAAGTGTAGAGCACCATCACACTAGCTGCTGCTCTTGAGGTGTAGAGCACCATCACACCAGCGGCTGCTCTTGAAGTGTAGAGCACCATCACACTAGCGGCTGCTCTGTAAGTGTAGAGCACCATCACACTAGCGGCTGCTCTTGAGGTGAAAAGCACCATCACACCAGCTGAGGGGAGAGAGAGGGGAGCTGGTCGACCGAGCGGACAGCACGCTGGATTTGTGATCCTGTGGTCCTGGGTTGGATCCCAGGCGCCGGCTAGAAACAATGGGCAGAGTTTCTTTCGCCCTATGCCCCTATTACCTAGCAGTAAAATAGGTACCTGGGTGTTAGTCAGCTGTCACGGGCTGCTTCCTGGGGGTGGAGGCCTGGTCGAGGACCGGGCCGCGGGGACACTAAAAAAAAAAAAATCATCTCAAGATAACCTCAAGATGCCCCGACCACGGTTCTTAGCACCGGGTACAGACTCACCCTCATAAAGACCACCGGTCTTAGCACCGGGTACAGACTCAAATCATCTCAAGATAACCTCAAGATAGCTGCTGCTCTTAGGTGTAGAGCACTATCACACCAGCTGTGGTTCGTTACTCATGGTGAAGACCACCGGTCAACACCGGGTACAGACTCACAACGACCACTCTTAGGTCTTACACACCGGGTACAGACTCACCCTCAACAACGACCACCGGTCTTAGCACACCACCCTCACAACGGGTACAGACTCACCCTCACAACGACCACCGTTCACAACGACCACCGGTCTTAACACCGACTCACCCTCACAACGACCACCGTACAGACTCACCTTCACAACGACCACCGGTCTTAACACCGGGTACCGACTCACCCTCACACGACCACCGGTCACAACGACCACCGACCACCGGTCTTAACACCGGGTACAGACTCACCCTCACAACGACCACCGGTCTTAACACCGGGTACAGACTCACCCTCACAACGACCACCGGTCTTAACACCGGGTACAGACTCACCTTCACAACGACCACCGGTCTTAACACCGGGTACAGACTCACCTTCACAACGACCACCGGTCTTAACACCAGGTACAGACTCACCTTCCGTGGGTGGGGACTTTGACTACACGATAACCTTGGTCAAGGTCCTCACTAATGATTGCCTCACGGACTTCCTCCAACTCTCCTTGTAAAGCTCATGTTTCACTTCTCTAATATTTGGAGTTTTAGTTGAGTCTTCATCTATTACTAATTTTGTAACGACGCTTAGCACGTTTTAAATTCTTTGCTGCATTTTTCGGGCACGACAAATGTTTGTCTCAGGTACACACCACATTACTGTTTACACAAGAAAGCCTATTGAACATTTAAATTGAGAGAGACAGAGAAAGAGAGAGAGTTTGGTTAAAAGATTCTCTGACACTCTAAGGCTTGTTTGACTCATATAAATTGCCTCAAAGTTCATCTGAGCATCCTCAGAAGCCGAGAGGAAGGGAAGATACAGGTAGCAGCTCAACAGTAAGTAGTAGTAACCTATGGGGGCTTTCAGGAAGGAAAAGTTGTTGACGTGTCGGGCGCTGATGTCTCGTTTGTCGGCTGGGTTGAAAGTACAGTTGCTGTTATTCAAATATTCTTGAGACTTAAGAATGCAATCATCTGTCAATCACAATCTTTCGCATCTTCATCATCTGGTGGCAGCCATCTTCAGACGGCCTCCATCATCTTATAGCCATCCCCTTCAGACAGCCATCCTTTTCTATCAGTCATTTTCTTCTATCATCCACCGTCTTCTGCCAACCACCGTGTTCTGCCAGCCACCATCTACTATCAGCCACTATCTTCTGCCAGCCACCATCTACTATCAGCCACTATCTTCTGCCAGCCACCATCTACTATCAGCCACTATCTTCTGCCAGCCACCATCTTCTGCCTGCCACCATCTTCTGCCAGCCACCATCTACTATCAGCCACCATCTACTATCAGCCACCATATACTATCAGCCAACATCTACTATCAGTCAACATCTACTATCAGTCACCATCTTCTGCCAGCCACCATCTACTATCAGCCACATCTTCTGCCAGCCACCATCTTCTGCCAGCCACCATCTACTATCAGCCACTATCTTCTGCCAGCCACCATCTACTATCAGCCACCATATACTATCAGCCACCATATACTATCAGCCAACATCTACTATCAGCCAACATCTACTATCAGCCACCATCGTCTTCCAGTCACCATCTACTATCAGCCACCATTGTCTGCCAGCCACCATCTACTATCAGCCACCATCGACTGTCAGCCACCATCTACTATCAGCCACCATCTGCTATCAGCCACCATCTACTATCAGCCACCATCTACTATCAGCCACCATCGACTGTCAGCCACCATCTACTATCAGCCACCATCTGCTATCAGCCACCATCTGCTATCAGCCACCATCTACTATCAGCCACCATCTACTATCAGCCACCATCGACTGTCAGCCACCATCTACTATCAGCCACCATCTACTATCAGCCACCATTGTCTGCCAGCCACCATCTACTATCAGCCACCATCTACTATCAGCCACCATCTACTATCAGCCACCATCTACTATCAGCCACCATCTACTATCAGCCACCATCGTCTTCCAGTCACCATCTACTATCAGCCACCATTGTCTGCCAGCCACCATCTACTATCAGCCACCATCGACTGTCAGCCACCATCTACTATCAGCCACCATCTACTATCAGCCACCATCTACTATCAGCCACCATCGACTGTCAGTCATCTTCTGATAATGTTGCGTCAAGTATAAGTTCATATGGTCATAAAGCATATGGCCTCCGTCTGCTTCTTACCTCACATCATACTTACTATGAGGTACCTCACATCATACTTACTATGAGGTACCTCACATCATACTTACTATGAGGTACCTCACATCATACTTACTATGAGGTACCTCACATCATACTTACTATGAGGTACCTCACATCATGCCGACTATGAGGTACCTCACATCATACCTACTATGAGGTACCTCACATCATACCTACTATGAGGTACCTCACATCATACTTACTATGAGGTACCTCACATCATACCTACTATGAGGTACCTCACATCATACTTACTATGAGGTACCTCACATCATACTTACTATGAGGTACCTCACATCATACCTACTATGAGGTACCTCACATCATACCGACTATGAGGTACCTCACATCATACCGACTATGAGGTACCTCACATCATACCGACTATGAGGTACCTCACATCATACTTACTATGAGATACCTCACATCATACCGACTATGAGGTACCTCACATCATACCGACTATGAGGTACCTCACATCATACCGACTATGAGGTACCTCACATCATACCTACTATGAGGTTATGTTTATAAGTTTATCAGTCTTACTATGTCTGCACAGCTAATAACATTCCCAGTAATCTAACCCTCTTTCATGGAATGCTCTGTAAAAAATTTTTTTTTTAGAATACCTAAGAGAAAATAGACATAAAAGTACTTCAGAGTTTTAATTTGGCTGTGAAAATTAGTTCCCCTCTCTGGCACATACACACACACACACACACACACACACACACACACACACCACACACACACACACACACACACACACACACACACACACACACACACACAAACAAAAATAAGGCAAGAAAGAGAAGGGTGGGCAGACTGCATATATTTGGATTGTCAGAAAGCCTTTGATACAGTGCCACACAAGAGGCTAGTGCGAAAGTTGGAGATGCAGGCTGGAGTGAAAGGGAAGGTACTCCGGTGGATAGAGGAGTACCTAAGCACCAGGAGACAACGAGTCTGTGTGAGGGGTGAGGTCTCAGATTGGCGAGACGTTACAAGTGGAGTCCCGCGAGGGGTCAGTCCTTGGACCTATACTGTTTCTGGTATATGTAAATGATCTCCCAGAGGGTATAGATTCGTTCCTCTCAATGTTTGCCGATGATGCAAAAATTATGAGGAGGATTGAAACAGAGGATGATAAAAGGAGGCTACAAGATGACCTAGATAGACTGAGTGAATGGTCCAACAAATGGCTGTTGAAGTTCAACCCGAGTAAATGCAAAGTAATGAAACTTGGCAGTGGAAACAGGAGGCCAGACACAGGATACAGAATAGGAGAGGAAGAACTTAATGAAACAGACAGAGAGAAAGATCTAGGAGTTGATATCACACCAAACCTGTCTCCTGAAGCCCACATAAAGAGAATAACGTCTGCGGCATATGCGAGGCTGGCTAACATCAGAACGGCGTTCAGGAACCTGTGTAAGGAATCATTCAGAATCCTGTACACCACATATGTAAGACCAATCCTGGAGTATGGAGCCCGTACCTTGTCAAGCACAAGACGAAGCTGGAAAAAGTCCAAAGGTATGCTACTAGACTAGTTTCAGAACTAAGAGGCATGAGTTATGAGGAAAGGCTGCGGGAAATGCACCTTACCACACTGGAAGACAGAAGAGTAAGGGGACATAATCACAACGTACAAAATCCTCAGGGGAATCGACCGGGTAAACAAGGATGAACTATTCAACACGGGAGGGACGCGAACAAGGGGACACAGGTGGAAGCTGAGTACCCAAATGAGCCACAGAGACATTAGAAAGAACTTTTTCAGTGTCAGAGTAGTTAGTCAATGGAATGCACTAGGAAGTGATGTGGTGGAGACTGACTCCATACATAGTTTCAAATGTAGATATGATAGAGCCCAGTTCTCTCAGGAATCTGTACACCAGTTGATTGACGGTTGAGAGGCGGGGACCAATGAACCAAAGCTCAACCCCCGCAACCCGCAAGCACAATTAGGTGAGCACACACACACACACACACATACACACACACATACATACATTATATATATATAAATATATATATATAATATATATATATATATATATATATATATATATATATATATATATATATATATATATATATATATATATATATATATTATTAATTATGACCGAAAAAGTAAGATTAATAATTCTAACACGAATTTTCTCAATCTTTCGTACATTTCTTTTCACTGTTGGAGGTAAATCAAAAATCAATTCTCCAAAATTCATTTTTATTTCTAGTCTGACGCGACACGAGCGCGTTTCGTAAAACTTATTACATTTTCAAAGACTTTAGTTCACAAATACACAACTGAATAGAACTTACGCATCTCCGATTTTATATCTACATTTGAGTGAGGTGGAAGGGGTGATGTGGCATTAACACAAGACAGAACAAGAGGTGGCATTAATAGGGTATTAATTTCATCAACACAAGACAGAACACGAAACAATGGGTATTGAATAGAAGTGTTTGTAGAAAGCCTATTGGTCCATATTTCTTGATGCTTCTATATTGGAGCGGAGTCTAGAGGTGGGTAGAATATTGTTGTGCAATAATTGGCTGTTGATTGCTGGTGTTGACTTCTTGATGTGTAGTGCCTCGCAAACGTCAAGCCGCCTGCTATCGCTGTATCACACGGGCCACAGGGATAAGAGCCTCGTTGGACGTAGAATCGCTGTTTACCAACGTACCTGTGGACGAGACAATCGGAATGATAGCCGACAGAGTGTATCGTGATCCAGCCTGTACTCCTCTTGACATACCAGAAAATATTCTGAGGAAACTACTCCAAGCTTGTACTAAAGAGGCACCCTTCTTGAGCCCGGATGGGCACATGTATAAGCAAGTAGATGGGGTCACCATGGGTTCTCCCCTAGGTGTCCTGTTTGCAAACTTCTACATGGGTACCATCGAGCAATAAGTCTTAGTCGACATGAACTTGAAACCGGCCATATACTGCAGGTATGTTGACGACATTTTTACACAGGTACCTGATGTCAGACATCTGCAGGAGCTGAAGGAGGCATTTGAGCAGAGTTCCGTGCTGCGTTTCACTTACGAGATGGAAAAGGATGGGAAGCTGCCCTTTCTAGATGTAACAGTCATGGAAAAGGGCGGAGGTTTCCACACTGCAGTCTACACTAAGGAAACGAACATAGGAATGTGCCTAAATGCCAACAGCGACTGCCCAGACAGGTACAAAAGGAGTGTTGTTAACGCATATGTCGACCGTGCTCTCAGCCACAGCTCAGAATGGAAGCAAGTCGACGAAGAACTCTGCAGGGTAAGGCAGGTCCTAGTCAATAACGGCTTCTCCAATGGTTTCGTCAAAGACATCATAAGAAGGAAAGTGAAAAGCCATGCAACCTCTGAAGAGACAACTAACACAACACCTATACCCCCTATTAGACTATTTTACAGGACTTCTTTTCCACAGCTCATAAAACGGAGGAAAGGGTCCTGAAAGATATTGTTAATAGAAACGTTATCCCTACAGACAAAAATCAGAGGATACAATTGACGATTTACTATAAAACCAGAAAAACGGCCAGCCTACTCATGAAAAACTCTCCAGACACAAAACAGAACGCTTTAAAAGAGACTAACGTCGTCTATGCCTTTAAATGCCCTCTTGGGGACTGTAAGCTCCAAAAAACCTAGTATATAGGCAAGACAACAACATCTCTTTCTAGGCGTTTAACGATGCATAAGCAACAGGGCTCCATTAAGGAACATATAATCTCTTCCCACAACCAAACCATAGCCAGAGAAATCCTAGTAAACAACACAGAAATCATCGATAGATACAGCGATAGCAGGCGGCTTGACGTTTGCGAGGCACTACACATCAAGAAGTCAACACCAGCAATCAACAGCCAACTATTGCACAACTATATTCTACCCACCTCTAGACTCCGCTCCAATATAGAAGCATCAAGAAATAAGGACCAATAGGCTTTCTACAAACACTTCTATTCAATACCCATTGTTTCGTGTTCTGTCTTGTGTTGATGAAATTAATACCCTATTAATACCACCTCTTGTTCTGTCTTGTGTTGATGAAATTAATACCCTATTAATGCCACCTCTTGTTCTGTCTTGTGTTAATGCCACATCACCCCTTCCACCTCACTCAAATGTAGATATAATATCGGAGATGCGTAAGTTCTATTCAGTTGTGTATTTGTGAACTAAAGTCTTTGAAAATGTAATAAGTTTTACGAAACGCGCTCGTGTCGCGTCAGACTAGAAATAAAAATGAATTTTGGAGAATTGATTTTTGATTTACCTCCAACAGTGAAAAGAAATGTACGAAAGATTGAGAAAATTCGTGTTAGAATTATTAATCTTACTTTTTCGGTCATATTTAATAATATATGTCTACAGGAAGACTGCTACCAAAAATATACTAATATATATATATATATATATATATATATATATATATATATATATATATATATATATATATATAAAATCACTTTTTTTCCATTACACTGGGGAGAGACCATCCCTTTGATGCGTACCCCTACTAGCCCTTGGCTCCGTGCCTATCCTAGTCTCTGGCTGGGACATCTTTTTCCTGTGCCCCTGGCTGAGGTATATTTATAAAAGCCTCCGATTGAAGTATATATATATATATATATATATATAGAGAGAGAGAGAGAGAATCTTCTTGATAGAGGTATGTTGGGTTTAAGTCTCTTACTGAGAAAATGTGTTCTGGTCCCTGACGGGAATATTTTCACTTGTCGCTGACTGAGATGTACCCCGTCTACACCTTCACTCCAGCTAGCAGAGTCTGTCCGTCATTTCGCCGCAGTGTTGACATAGGTTGTACAGCATCCAGAAGCTATCTTCCGAAGGTTGTGTTTACTCTTTTTGCAACAGGAGTTGTGTGCTACTCCTGGCTGGTACTAGC